TTCCAGATAAGCATTCTAAGAAGTCCTCATAAAATATACGTATCTCTAATTAAATATTAGCTCTCCAACAAAGTTAAGATTTTTAGAATGATTGTTTTTAAATTAGTGGTTCTTAAATCTATGTGCACATAAGAATCATCTGGGGAGTTTTTAATAAATAACCCCCACCCCGATCCCATCATATCCAGAGGTTTTAATTATTTCTAGGCATTGGTGGTGTAAAAGCTCCCTGTATGAGTTGCATATGCAGCTAAGATTTTTTATTGTTCTCTCTCTTTTTTTTTGGTCTTTTTGAGACAGAGTCTCGCTCTGCAGTTCAGGCAGGCCTTGAGCTCACTTTGTAGCCCAGGCAGGTCTTGAATTTGCAGTGATCCTCCTGCCTCAGTCTCCCAAGTGCTGAGATTATAGGTGTGCACCACCAGTGCAGCTAGGATTGAAAACTACTGGTTCAAGTTCCTAGTTCTGTATAGAAGTTAAAATGTTTCAGGCAAAGGAAGGGCACATTGTAATGGAGTGTGTAGTTTTATTTAAAGCTGCTGGAAACTTGGGTCCAATTCCTAGCACCAAAATATAATAATAATAATACTGTTGGAAACATTTGGAATTAATTTGTTTCCCTTGTTTTTATCCTAGGGTCTCTATGGCAGTGTTATTGTGGCAGGAGGAAACACGCTAATACAGAGTTTCACTGATAGGTTGAATAGAGAGCTTTCTCAGAAAACTCCACCAGTAAGTTCTGTTTGTTTTTAGTAGTACTCTAATTATTAGTATGTGCTCACCAGTGATACAGTTTTATAAGTAAGGGTTCATTTTTCAGTACGTATTTACTTTGTATATGTGGTATTACTTAATAGCTCTCATCAGAATTTCCTAAATCTATTGATTTCTCAAATTATTTGAATGTCACTTTATGCATTAACTTTATACTTACTCATAAGTGTGTATAGTGTGTTAGACACTAGGCAGACAAAATATAATCCCTGCCCACCAGTGGCTCAGTCTACTTGGAAGGTTGGACCTGTAAAAAATACGATTGTAATGAGCTAAGTGCTTTAGTGTGCCATGAACCAGGTATTCTTGGGAACACTGAGAAGAAAGCATTTAACTCTAGGACTTCAGAGAAAAGCCCCATAAAGAAGCTGTTATTTGAATGAATAATTCAAGTGGTTGCAAATTTCTAAAAGGACATCTAGGTGGAGTGAATGCCATGTACAAAAAAGGATGACAGGAGCCAGGCATGATGGCATATACCTGTAATCCAGCACTCGGTAATCCCAGCATTCTGGGAGGCTGAGGCAGGAGAATTACAAATTTAAGCCTGGCCTGGGAAGCTTAGCAATTAAAACCTATTTCAAAAGTAAAAAAGGACTGGGAATGTAGCTCAGTGAGAAGAGCCTAGATTTAATTCCCAATACTGGAGGGAAAAGTATGATGGGAGGATTATCTGTTCCAATAATTCGAAGTCATCAGTGTATAGCTCTGTAAGTGGGGAAGAGAGGAAAATGATGTGGCTCGGAAGATGGATAGCGTGTTGGTCTCCTAGGGCTCCCATAAGAAAGCACTGCAGTTTGGTGGCTTAAAACAGCAGAAATGTATTGTGTCAGTTCTGGAGACTGTTGGAGATCACTACAAAGTGGCTCTGAGCAGGATTTAATATTAACCAGTTGGCTTTCCGTTTACTTGTGAGTTGTCTGAAGCTTAGGCACCTTCAGTGGACTTCAGTGGAAGATAGGCAGTGGACTCACAGTAAGTAAACCTCTGAGTCACTGGTCACCACTGAGGCCTATATTGACCTATAAAGCTATAACACCTCAAAGGACAAGATAAGGCTACAGCTAAAGATGTCTGGCTCTAACCCCAGTTAACTACAAGGAGACTGTAGCTACAGGCATCTCACTCCTGCTGTGAAGGCCTTCCTGGAGATAACATAGTTCTCCTAAATTAGCATGATGTATTACTAGGAAAAGTCCTGCCCAGATTCCCGCGTTTTCTTGAGTATCCTCCTCCTTCGTTTGTAAACCAAATACGTATAGGCTGCCCAGAGAAGTCTTTGGCTAAACTCAGAGAATATTGAAACTGTAAGAGTTAGTCCCTGTTGGAGCCCTGAAATCATTTCCATTGTTTCATTTATTAAGCCTTCGCAGTCCATTCACTTGGGAGATTGTGGGCCTGATCAGCCCGCAAGGGTTATTTAACCTGATAGACTAGATCTGAAATCAAGGTGTCACCAGGGCCGACCTCGCTCTGTAGTCTGTAGGGGAAAACAGTCTCCCTTCTTCCTAGCTTCTGGTGGATTGCCAGCAATACTTGGCTTGTAGCTGTGGCACTTCTCTTAAAAGGACACCTATCACACTGGATTAAAAGCCCATCCTGCTCCATTATTGATATCAACTTACTTACGAATTACATCTGCAAAGACTTTCAAATCAGATCATACTCATGGGTAAAAGGGATTAGGACCTTAGCATACTATATCTTTTTAGGGAATATAATTCAACTCACAGAGGATATGTAGCAGGGCTTGCTTTATTAGGTAGTTTGGATTTTACCGAAACTTTAACAGGATAAAACCTGGCAGAGAACTGATGAGTGCAGGTATGTTTTTAAAAGACCACAGGGTGTACTGTAGTAACTGTTAAAAAAGATAGAAGAACCTGGATTAGAGGGAAGGTAGTTTATATGATGTATCAATAATAGAGTAGGAGTCATAATTAAATTTGAAAACTTCTATCAAGTTTTTGTAAGGTGCCACTAAATATTAACTTGAAAAGTAAACTTAACAAGGAGTTGCACAGGCCCTAACATCTATAGAATTTGTATATTTGTTAGTCTTTTGGCTTCTTATAAATCTTATGGATGCCATATTTTTATAATTAAGAGTGGTATTTGAATACAGATGCAGCCACAAGGTTGACATCTGCTCTATGTCTTGAGATTCTTGGAGCTACAGGCTCATCTAGAGTATACCTGAAACACAGTGTGGTCGTTAGATTTCGTAGAGCTCAGTGGTAGAGTGCTTGCCTAACACCTAAGGCCCTGGATTCCATCCTGTGTTGTGAAAAAGAAAAATCTACTTCTTACCTACACATTCACCCCTCTCACCAACACCCTCCCCATATCTCATATTTTACCCCTGCCACAATATATTTCATTGTGAAAAAGACTCAAACTGTATGTTTGTATGTGTAATAACTGGAATGTAGTAACAACTTGAGAACTACCAGGCAGACCCCTAGGTGGGAAGGAAAATCTCTTGATATAGGAAATAAGATAAGGGATAGTACTGAGCCATACAGTGATCAAGAAAGTGTGAATTCAAAACAGGAGCACTAACTTAGAAAGACAGCAGTTAAGTCCTACTTGAGACGTGATGATTGCTTTGGTTTGGAAAGGCAGGCGTGAACTAATGAAGGATTAGGGTGACCTGAGGCAGGGAGGCAGGTTGGGTAACTGCACCTGGGATTGGATGAAGTAAAAGAATGTACAAGGCGCTTAGCACATACCGTATTTATGGTGACAAGTACGTTTCCTTGTGTAGGATATGAATGCTAGCTAAAACATTGTCAAAAATTTCCTAAGTTGAATCCACTGTTTTGATTGTACTAATACTTTTTCCCTCTGTTTTAGAGCATGCGGTTGAAACTGATTGCAAATAACACAACAGTGGAACGGAGGTTTAGTTCATGGATTGGTGGCTCTATTCTAGCTTCTTTGGTTAGTAGATGAATGACAAAAAGTTCTGAAGATTCTTACTTAACAATTCCAACGTTTCACTTACCCCTGCATTTTTTAGATTAGTGGAGGACCTAATAATGTTTTATATGTCCTGATATAACAAAATGCTCTGCCCTATTACTGTTACTCTGTTGGCACTGGTCAGGATTTGTCCATAATATATTTAAAATTAAGTAATTTAGCATGGGCCATTTCTTGGCCTAGTGGTAAGGTATGTCAGAAGTCAGGATTTGGCTCTTGGGCAAAAGAAGTTTTTGTGCTGGGTCTTTGACTGGTATCTGCCTTGAATTAGGAGAAAAAGCCTTATTTTTGTGGACCCCAGACTTAAGAGCACTTCCCCTTTTCCTTAGAACAGTTCAAGCAAATGGCACTAAGTATTTAGACCTTCTGAGAACTACTGTTACTGCCTTAACTTGGCATAGAGCCATCACAGTTAAACCGTCTTCCCTCCCGGCCGTGTTGCCAGTCCTGCACGGTATAACAGGTGTAGAATGGTTTAATATTTTTTAAACCTGAAAGGCAAGGCAGAAATGAGAAAAGAGTAATGGAGTACTGTTTTGGGGGAGGGAGCTTGAGTTCAAAGTTCAAGAGTTGCCAACATACAGTCTTTTCTCATAAGGCAGGAGTAATTATATATTTCCATTTTCCAGGGCACCTTTCAACAGATGTGGATTTCCAAACAAGAATACGAAGAAGGAGGGAAGCAGTGTGTAGAAAGGAAATGCCCTTGAAAGAGTTCCCAGACCTCAACCTTTCTTTGTCACCTTATGTTTCATAGCTTTAGTACACTCAGGAAAGAATTACCATCTTTTGTAGAATGTTTATACATTTTTGCATATTTCAATTTCCACTTAAATTTTTTAAGGCTTTAACTGGCTCTATAAATTAAAATGAGTTTGTGCTTTCCTTGAAATGCACTTATTCTGATGATAAGCATTTTATAATTTTGTATAAATGTCTATTTTCTCTAAATATTTTGCTTTCAGTAAAATGCTTTCCAAGTTTGCTTAGTATATTAATTACCAGTGAATGGTAGAATTGCTTTTTATTGACTAGTAAAAGTTATTGCCTATGCTTTTTACCTTAGGCTTTTAAAATTAATAAAAATTGCCAGCCATTCCAGAGATACTTTGATTGTTGTGTATTTTGACTTGCTACTTCTGAACACTACAGGTATTTACCATTATTTTGGTGAAAGTATTCACATTTATAAGTAGTAGTTCCCATCCCCTGCATATTCTATTAATAGTAACAGTAAAAATGTCTGAATTCCAAAACTACTTTACTTTCTTTGCTTTGACTGTTACTACCACTTTCGTACTGTAGGACAGCAGGTGATGTTAAAGCATGTGTAGATGTCAGAATTTTTAAGATGAGTACTTGGTCTGAACTTTATTCTTGATGTTTAAAAATGTGGTAGAAGCAAGACCACTTTGAGAATTCACATCATGTTAACCTTTAGAACATCGCTAAGTCATTTGATAAAAAAGTTTCTTTATGAACTACTTAATATATATTTTTGTACATAGACTACTATGCAGCAACAAAAAAAGTTAGTTTAGACTTTTTTTTAGACAAGACTTGACTTCTGGGCTTCAGCAAGATGTGGAAACTTTTCTTGTAGAATTTTCTGTTTCTTTCTCTCCAAGCGTTTCTTTCTTGTTTCCATGCGGATGTGTTTCTCAATTCTCAGTCTAAAATAATGAGAGCACACCAGCTATATGAATGCTGTATTTCCAAATCAATTACATAAAAGCTCAAATCATACCAGCCTATTTGGGACCCTATATATATTATTACACTTTAACAGTAATAATCACTGTAAACATACACAAGAGACAGATGTTGAAATCAGAAGCACCTGTATCTGAAGAAACTATGGTTTGTGACTGGAAAATGTCCAAATCTTACAAGCCTGTAGCACACCAAGTCCGAGGTTCTGTCCTCGTATGACTAAAGATATTTTTCCACTTTATTTTAAAAACCCTAACTTTATTGAGTACATTAGATTTTTTACATCCTGAGATGTATCCTGGAATTTGTGGTAATTACCTGATTTCAGATAGCATTCACCCTAGCTGACTGTCCGTACACAGGGAATAAAACAACGCCAAGAGATAGTGCCTAGGCACTGGTGAGATAACATTCTCTCAACTAGTCTGTTCCCACATCAGAACCCCAGGGCATGAGGCATTTGGGCCTCAGCTAAATTATAATGACCTGTAGGGCCATTTGAGTATCACCAGAATTGAAGATGATAGATTCATGGGTGCAAGCCTCTGGTGCATTTAAGTGGTTATGTTACAATGTCTGATGGATCAGTTGATTTAAGCAATAATAATAATACAATTAAAAAGATGTTCTGACTAACTACAATGTACTGGTACTGTCAGGAGGTCACAGAAATTTGAGAAATTACATCTGGGTGAAGACAAGAATATGCACATTAGAAAAAAAGTATAGAGACTACACAGCTGAAATTAGTTTTGCTCCAGTTATATTTTAGATGTTTGTTTCTAAAAAAAACATTTAAACAATACAGGTTTACTATTAAAAATACTTTTAAGATTATGCTACATTCTCTGGAAGGCTTAAAAAGTTTTAAAAAATGAAATTGTAGAACATGTATAAAGCCTATAAATGTAGCACTGGATTGACAAGTTTTCATATATTTGAAAAGTCATTTTATAGCTCCACCTTGATGTTTAAGAGAGGACAAAAAAGACCAGTAGCTCAACATTGGGCTTGTAGAAATTGGAGAAAACAGCCAGTGCAGTCATATTTTCCAGCTGCTTAGCATCAAACTAGTTCCTAAATGTGAATAGATGGAAAGATTTCAAAGCTGTAGGAAAGGAAACAAAGGCAGAAAATGAGCAAGATGCTAAGAAATAAAGTGAGAGATACAACTTTCAGGAGTGAATAGCGAAGTCTAAATTGTGGGGACACTGGATGGGAAAGACTGCCCTCTGGACAAGGTACTCTGTTTCTGAAGAGCCCTGATGTGATAAAAGGCTTGGGGAAAACTGGCCAGGAAGCAAGGCTGAGTGGGTTGGAATGAGAAAGACGTCTAGCTGCGCCAGTTCGTGAGGGCAGAGACAGATCCTGGAGACACCGCAGAAGAAATAAATATGACTGCACTGCACGCGGAGTGCTGCTGCTGGAAACATGACTGACGTTTTAGTGCCCACACAGGACGGATGCACCACGGATAAAATGAGGCACTTGGTTCAGTTCGGTGGGGAAGAGACAAAATGTAAACTGACACTAAAGCCTTGAATGCTCAATTTAAAGACATGTTCCATTCATGTTGAAATTATTTTTAAAAGTTGTGTATTTAATTTTTTAGTGTAGAATATGGAAACTTTTGGGGAAAAACGTCCGTCTTGGAAGAGTCCTTGCTGAAACCACGATCTACTATCCAACGCAGCTGTCAGTATTAACCTTCAGCTGCTTTTCCAGCATTGAGTTCTGATTTCTAGCACATTTAGCCAGAAACTGCAGTTCCCTGGCCCCATGTTTTTTGCAGCCATAGCAGTGGGGGCAAGAAACCACATACTTGCAAATATTTCCCCTCCAATTGCAGCTTTTGGATTAAATTCTCTGGCTTCTGTCTGCTTTTGGATGTGCAGCCAGTATTTTAAATAGCTCTTTTAAAATATTTAGCTTTTATAATTACCAACTGGGGTTCTTAGGACCACTTCACTCCTCTACCTACCATAAAGAAAAGCCTGTAATTTCCCTATTCAACGATAAACTTAACTCATCAATGCCTAGGGATCCATTTCTGGAATGCCCAAAACAACGGAACAGGGAAATGTGTTCTTTTCCAATTCCTGTTCATTGAATTTTTCTAGGTATGAATTTCATGCAAAATTCAAGAAATTTTAATCTCTGGCATAAATGGTTTAAAACATCTGCTATGGGAAATACGTGGAGATCTACAGTATGCAGGACGGCATAATTCATATACAGGGAACACAACGGGCTTCTCTCCCTTAGATGCTTTTCATTGGCCTTGCAATCACACGTTCACATTTTATGCACCTGAGTTACCTGGATCTGCAGTTTAGGATTCCCTCATCTGTTTACAGAGGGTAGGTAAACAGGTAATAAAACTTGCAAAAGGATACACACTGTAGTGTTCAAGTGGCTATTTCTCAGTGGTTAGATTATATATGTGACTTTTTTGTCTTTATTTTTGCCTTATGCTATTTTTCCCACAATACATGTACTATTTATGTAATAGAAATTAAAATGTAAAGAAAGTTTAACATATATATCTAATGTGAAGATACTAGTGTTTTATTACTAAAAGCATCTGTGCTCACCTGACAAAATGATCCACATAAGGCATTGCAAAGAATCGTTTCCTGTTGTATCTTTTATTTAGGTACCAAGGTATAGGCCACTGCTTGAACTTGTGCCTGTGCCGAGAAAGAAAAAGTATTTACCTTATAGAACACAGTGCATTTTCACTTTCCTAATTTTCTACCTTTTTGTACTTAGCTTCAAATGAATTAACGCTAATATAAAGTACTAGAAAAGAAAACATTAAAAGGTTTGTCTGCAGTGCTGGAGATCAAAGCTGGGGCCCTACACCTGACAGGCAAGCCCTCTACCACTGATTTATACCCTTAGGACTCAGAATGCATTTTGATGACATATTTTGGCAATTTCTCTCTTTTGTGTTAGATAGTTACTGACTAACACAGTGGCACAGCTACTGCCCTAAACATGGCTCTAAGCAGTCTTACTGCTAAACGCCACTGAAAGAACTTACCAAATGAGTAAGTACTACTACATGGGGTAATTTCAAGAATCCAAGAAAGCTCTCTAACTACCCAATGCATTCTTCATTTTGCTGATCTTTAAGGTACCATTAACAAACTACATTTTAGCTGTTCAACCCAAATGTAAATAAGCCCCCAAAAGAGAGGTTATTTTTCCCTACTCCTCTGAATTATTCTGTGACCATCAGTTCTCCCAATGCCTGACAAGACTGAGATCTATGTGTAGTGAGAGAAGCAAGCATAACTGTTCCGTAATTTGGCCTAGGCCTTATTCTGATGGCACTGCAAGCAAACAAACTGGTACGTTTGACCTTATTCCTCAAGAAATTCCTTTTTAAAATATTCACGGGTTCTTAATGGGCAAAGATGGCAGGACTAAGACCTGCAATCAACTTCAGGAGTTTTATAAGCTTCTGAAATGGTATGTGTACATTATGTTTTAGCGGGGAAAGGATCCATAATTTTCATCAAAATTTCCAAATTTCCTGTGAGTCAAGATATGAATCACTGGTTCCAAAAAAAAAAGCCCCTACATATACAATAACTATCATATAAATGGGATGTTAGAGCTTGTATTGGTTTTACCACACAAAGCTACCTTCATTCATATCTCTAGGTGTTCCAAAGTAATTTGTGACCTTTTCTTACATAAGATAGATCTCCAATATACCTCATCTGGTCCCTCCTCCTCCCTCTCTCATCTCCAGCCCTTTATTATTTTGAGACAGGATTTTGCGAAGTTGCGCAGGCCGGCCTCCAACACGTGATCCTACCGTATCAGCCTCCTTAGAAGCTGTGATTAGAACAGTGGCTAGCTGGAGAATTTCCTTAAAATATTCTGGGCAGGGGAATGAGGTACAGAATCTCCACTCTCATCTCCGAAGAGTCCCAATGTAATCTATGTACCAAATGACTCTTCCAAAGATGTCTCTTCTCCAAGCGCCAGGTCTGGCTCGTTCTTGACCAGTCTGGAGAAGCCTCAAAGCATCTTCTCTTTCCTGGACAACTTTATCTAATGCATCCATGGAATCAACTACCTGAGAAAAGAACAGAAAGATTCAATTCTAGCAATCCCCAATAACAATTCCAAAGAGAAAGAATACATAAAGACATGCTACAGAAGATCTACAATCAATGTTTATCAAGGAACTACCAACAAGAGCTTCCTAAAAACCTTTTTTGGCCCAGGCATGTGTTCATTGGTATCCCTAATATCACTTCCTGTAACTCTTACAAAGCTTTAGCTTCATTTAAATGAAAATCTCCTCAGCCTGGATTTCCACATATCACTTCTGCTTGGTGTGGTAAATACCTGCATAAATTCCTTTCGGAGACTCAATCTAGCAGATGCTATTTTGAAATTCACTTAGTAAGTAGTATTAGTTTGTCCCTTCTGTTATACTAAAACGTATGTTTTGACCTCAACTAATCACCATTTTCATCACATTCTCACCCAGATATTGGCAGCTCTTCTTACTACAGGGAGAGGAGTATCAGTACATCCTGATTTTAGAGTAATCTCAAAGATCCACCAAGTCTGAGAAGATCCCACTACATTTATTTTTATCTCTTTCTTTAAAGATTCCTATGGTCTGCTTTAACATACATCATATGCTGGTACAGTAATATATATTTGTATAGAAATATTCATATTGGAGATTATTATGTCAGATGAGACAAGTATGTTCACAAAATACTGAGAACCATTTTTGGGTGGGTATGCCTGTGTTTTATCCTTGAGCATTATCAGGTATAAAATGCCGCATATAAATACATATATGTTTCTTATATATATGTATTTATTTAAAAGAAGACAGATTAGATTATAATAACCCGTCCCCCTGCAGGTAGTTCGTATGAGACCTGACAGAGATGTGAAAGTCACAAATTCAGACAAATTAACTCAAGCTCAGCACTTCTGCTGTTCCCAGCTTTCACTTTCACTTCTGCTGTTTCCCAGCCTTACAGTAGCTGATTCACATCTTCTTCTTTTTTTGGGGGGTACGGGGAATTGAACTCAGCACCTTCCGCTTGCCAGGCAGGAGTTTATGCCACTGAGCTATATCCCTGGCCCCATCTTCTTAATTATGTAAATTTCTACAACATCCTTGAGAAATAAAAGATGGGTAAGACAAATCTTGTGTTTGCTTATTTTTTAAGTCAGAACCTCACTGTGTAGTTCAGGCTGGCTTTCTACTTTTACATACATAGAACAGGCTGCCCTCAAATTTGGGGAATCCTCCTGCCTCGGCCTTCTGAGTACTGAGATTATAGGCATGTGCCATCATGCCTGGCTGACAAATCTTATTTTGAAGACAGAAAACCTGGATGTGAAGAGAGCACACTGGTAAGGGCCTAACACAAAGTATATCTTCAGGAATTTTTAGTAAATCAGCTTGCTGACTGTATTAAAGTTTGCCCAAGCCAGGGCACAGCATGAGGTTCCTAAATGATATCTAATGAGATAAGTTAAATGGCTACCAAGTCCAGAGAGTTAACATTCAAATGTTGATGCCACCAGCGGAAAAAGAAAATCAGAATTACACATTAACCATCATATCTTACTCAAAGGTTTGGATTCTGGAACATCTTAGATTTTGATGACCAACTGAACTATATGCTTGAAGTAGGGAGAGGAAACAGTCTATCATTGAAGGTCGGTAACAGCATTAGTTTTATGAAGAATCCTTTCTTGCCAATGAACTTAAAAGTCTCTAAAACCTAAATTCCCTTAATAGCAGGATTAGCAAATGAACCTGAAACTAAATCAATTACTCTATGAATGTCACATTGCAATGAAGACACCTAGCACACAGGTATTAATTGCCACGTCATTCTTCACTAGAAACAACCAGGTTCCTATGTAAAGTGGCTGATTCCAGGGCCAGGGCAAGGAAGTACCAAACAAACCTAGAACATCTTGACAAACCTCATCAAAGAAAATGAAGACAAAAGGCCCAGCTTGAAGAAACTTACATTAGCCAAATCTGGGATGATGGTATTAAAGGATTATAACTCACTGAATAAAGTTCAAATCCATGAGTCCGCACTGCTAGGAAACAATGATAAAGAAAGAAATGGGGACATGAGAAAGCCTTTCATTACGGAAGAAAGCCAACTAATGAATGTAGAATGAGTGCTAGGACTCAACAATCACTATTTAGCAAATGTCATAAATGATTCAGGCAAGATTCATCAATGGATGCTAAAACCAGTAAGTGAATGTTGAGGAGTTGCAGGGCATTTATATGATCTCAAAGTAGTTCCCAAGAAGGAGGTTTTTTTATGTAAATGTAAAGAAAAACTAGTAACTACATGGTGGAGAACCTGACCAACACCACCTTCACCAGGGTATTAATGCCAGCATCAGTAACAAAACAAATTCACATCCTGTTCCTCCAGGTATGACACATTGTGAAACCACAGCACCACCATGCTGTACACTATGGTATTTCCGTCAATCTTACAAATACCAGACAAACCCAAATTGAGGGACTGGCCTATTCACTTCAAAAATGTTAATGTCAAGCAATACAACAAGCTGGGTGGTGGAGCAGGGCTGTAATTCCAGCACTTGGAAGGCTGAGGCAGGAGGATCACCCCAAGTTCAAGGCTAGCCTACACAGAGAGACCCTGTCTCAAAAAACAAAAAAACCAAACCAAAAACGCCACAAAACAACAAAAGGCTGAGTTTCCAGATTAAAGGAGACTAAAGAGACACAAAAACTGAAAATGCATGATCCAGGATTTTCTTTTGCTATAAAGAACATTATTAGGTTACTTGATGAAATCTGAGTAAGATCTATAGAGAGTACACTGTTATATTAATGTTAATTTCCTGCTTTAACAATTCCTTGTACTATTCTCCTAACTTTTGTAAGTCTAGTATATCAAAATAAAGCTTACAAACCCCAAAATGTTAATCAACTTTCACTCTGCCAGAACAACTTTCTTAGAAATTACAGCAAATACTTGAGATTTTATTGCATGCTTTCTTCTACTTTTTCCACATGCACTCTGCTTTCTGTCTTACAGGGAGTACAGCAACAGCAGTGTGGCTGGTGTAGGGAAGGAAGCTACAATAACTGAGGTCAGGCAGCGGGACTGAAGTGGTTACGGAAACAATTCTGTTCTCCCGTTGATGCCTTACAATTCACAGTGTTCGCTTTGAAAGCAATCTAGAAAAACTTACAAATCTAAATAAAACCAAAATTTCTCATCTATAGAAAAAATGTTTTAAACATGGTAAAAATAAGAAAAGGCAGATCCACATATACAGAAATCCAGGATATACTGAATAGCTGAAAAATATACATTGCAAAATATGTATCATATAAACAAATTTGTGTAAATAAAAATAAACACACTTAGACAAGTAGAGAAAAGTTTTGAGGCATAAGAAACATGAAGAGTGCTTTGAGAATGGGAATAGGAACACGGGATTGTTTTAATAATCATGAAGAAAACCTAATTTAAATAATAATTGACTTTTCACAACCATGTGAATATACTTAACACTAATGAACTCCACACTTAAAAACAGTTAAGATGGTAAAATTTCTGTTATTTTTTTTAACCAGAGGTTTAAAAAAATGCATTAAAAACTGACTTAGTTGGTAAGGAGGTGGCCAACCGCAGCTAGAAATGTACACTGGTTCAGCTACTTCATTTTATTTTACTTTTTAGGTTCAGGGGATTGAACCCAGGGGGCTGGTACTTGCTAAGCACAAGCACTATCTGTATACAGTGCTTCAGAATATGGTTTGCCTGTTTCTCACAATGCTAAGCAGAGATCTACTAGCAATTGTATTCCTAGGTATCTACTCAAGAGAAAAATATACATGCACCCATATGTTGAGGGCTGTAGGCAGGAATGAGGAGTAACTACAGATGGGTATGAGATTTCTTTGGGGATGACAGAAGTATTCTAAAATAAGATAGTTTTGACAGATACATAGCTGCAAATTTACTAAAAGCCAAATGGAAAAAGAGAAATATAAATCTATTTGACAAGAAATAAAGACCCACACATACTGATTCCCATTAGCTTTTACCCTGCATGAGAGTTGCTGGCCTTGAACAAGCCTTACCTTTTCTAACCGCTCGGGACTTGGCATGGGTAAGCACTGCCGCTTGGCCTCCTGCTCCAGAGTTAGAAGCATGTTCCTTTCTTTCAGTAAGACGTACCTATACCAGGGAACACAAAGTTTATGATGCTATTTGTGGTTAAGTTAAAAAAGTTGTCGTTTCTTACATCAAAATTAATCTATACTTGAAAGTCCTTTAGAAATCTCAATACACAGATTACCATTACAAAGAAAAACCCTTTAGCTTTGCTTATTCACTTGTTCAAAAAAGTTTCTTTGCACCACATATTTTATTAAGTGCTAGACGAGTTACCAAAAAAAACAAAAAAACAAAAAAACAAAAATAGTAATCCCTACACTCCAAGTGAAGAGAGAAGGAAAACAGAAGATACAAAACATTTACTGAATACCTGTGGTACGCCAGACAATGTGCTCAGCATTTTACATACACTATTCCACTGAATTCTCACAACATCCCTTTGGGGTCAGTGCTGTTTCCCCTTCCTAAATGAAGTAAGGCTGACAAAAGTAAGATATTCTGGATCACACAGCTAACTCTGGATTCAGATCTCAGACTCCCTAATGCCAAACCCATTCTATTTTTACTCCACCACGCTGATTCTGAAACTATAATGTGATGTGGCCTGGCGGGTGGGAAAAACAAGTACCAGAGCAATTAAGCAGGAGAAATAAGAGCTCTATTCTCGGTTTCGATGACCATGGAAAGATTCAGAGGACACGGGACTTGGTAGGAAGGAAGAGAGAGCAAAGCAACCATAATTGAAAGAACTAAAGCAGCAGAGCTGATGTAGTTGGGTTTTGTGAACATATTGGTTTAGAATTAGGACTTGAAGAACAGAAAGGAAATAAATGTGGAGGTCCATTTTCTCGCTGAAAATGAGACAAAGGAACGGGGTCCTTTATGCTATGAAAAAAGCCAATTTAAGGGGAAGGAGTAACAGACTGTTTTGTTTTAGCCACAGTAAATGTTAAAACAGTCCTAACTCCCTTTCCTGACAACCCACAACAACAGACCTTTGACACAATTTATTTTTCTATAACAAATCTATAAGGGACATCTAGAAGGTCCAGCTAATTACTGTCACGTATAGGGGCAGTATTACTAGACCACAGCCTGACTATTCCAGAGAAATCAGTCTTTTATTTTTGGGTTTCAGAACAGGTAAGGTTTAAACAAAATATCTTTGGGCTAAATATAGTCAATTAAAAATGCAACTTTATCTTAAATCCTCTTAACCTTCTCAAATTCATGAGAAGAACCTGCTAGAAAGGTCTACCTAAATGCCCCATGAGATGCACCCTCCAACACAAACCCCCACACTGAAAGACTAAAGACCCCAGACGATGAAAAAGGCAACAAAAAGGAAGGAAGTTTCAGTGTGACCCACTATTCCCCTTTTTATTGAGCTACTCTACCAAAATTGCTAGGATGAAAATGTTAGTATGACTGGGAGCAGTTACAATAAAATTTCCCAACTTCCAACTACTTAACAACTAGGATATATTTGTCTTAATGCAGTCTAAGCTCTGTCATATTTATGAGATCTCTCAAGACCTTATGGATCATATGTACGAGTGACGGCAAACAGAGACCAAGTGCCCAAACTGCCCCTATGTGCGCTGTTATCTGACGCTCAGCTGCTGCAGCGACACTAGGGCGACTTGGCTCGTGTACTAACAGGGCTCTGTGTGCCCACTGCAGCATGTGTGCCATGGGTTTGCCACCACTGATCTGTATCATCTGTAGTATGACAAGACAGATCACTTTACTCAACTTCTTACATCAAAAAGATAACATTTTTGCTTCATTATTATATTATAACTGCTCCAAACACCTAGTTATACTCACCAAAGTTTATGTAAATCTTCATTACTTTTGTTCCTTAATTGCTGACAGGTCCATGCAGCTCCTATTAAAATAAATTCGTAACATGAAATAATGTTTCTAGCTAGGTGCCCTTGGCAAATTACTAACCTCTCTGAATCTGTTTTCTTACCTGTGAAATATATAATTGCACTATTATATATGATTAGAATTCAATTATATAACATGAAAATATTAGTAACTTGACAGGTAATGGCATTTTAAAACTGTCAGCATTAATACTGAATGTATTTTCACAACCTAATGTCAAAATGTTTTGTCATTACAAATCAGTTTTCAAGTACCACTTAAATTGGGAATCTAACATAAACTCTAAATCTCACTTTAGTTAATACATTCAATTTATTTCTTTTCCAAAGTTTTGCCAGCCTAACAAGAAACAATTAACTCTATTATTATAAAGAGTTTTTAATGACATAGTAGATGGTCTTAAAGGAAATAAAAAAAGGAAACAACTACATAATTACTGAACTGAACAAATAACATGAGAATAATGGAAGGTTCAATAAACATTTAATATCAACCAACCCAAACAGCTCACCAGATTTCACTTTTTCTTGCCCCCAGTTCTTTGGGTCATCAAAAAATTCTTCCAGTCCTTTTCTGGACAATGTGGTATGAAGTAATCTACACTGCTGAAAGGATGTGATATTTGGTGCATTTGTAGATAACAAACTAAGAGAAAATCTGCAAATGAGCACATATGAAAAAATTACTAGAGTTTAACAATATTTGATTTTATAATCAGGAGTAAAGAGAATCCTTTCCTGTTTACAATATCCACAAAAACTTACTTGGTATTTCTGTACCAGAAGCAGTAAACTTTTAAAATGTTGAAAATTATTATGTATTTGCATGATAATCTATTTTGCAATAATTTAAAAATTATGTTTAAAATATTTAATAACTTGGGGAAATGATTTCAAAACGAAACAGTGAAATGCACAAGTGTTGTTCTCCTATCATATTATTTAACTTGAATCTAACTATAAGGAAGCAATCAGACAAACCCAAATGGAGGAGTACTCTAAAAAAGCTAGTCTTATAAAAAAAATTAGCAACATCATGAAACTGTAAAAAAGGAAATGTTCTGGATTATAGGAAACTAACAAGACAACTAATGTAACAAATCACCCATCACTGAATCTTAAATAAAAGAAAAAGAATTCACCAGGACAATTTTTAATTTGTCCATATGCTATAAATAGTGCTGTCATAGCAGTAATGTATTAATTAAATATTCTGAGTTTGATTATTATATTGCGCTTAGTAAAACAGCATCCTTATTCTTAGAATATATGGAGCATCATGTTTATAATCTGACATACCTCAACAGCTGAGAATAAACAGCATAAATATAAAGAGATAAAGAAAATGTGACAAAATGCTAGTGATTTGCTAATATAGGTGAAAAGTACATATGGTTACTTTCTGTACTACTCCTAATTTTTCCATTGGTTTGAAATTTGGGGATTTTTGGGGGGGGGAGTTGAAAATTTTTTAAACTAAAAAACAGTAAAAAAAAATGCATATATGTAAAGATCCTAACTGTACTCCATTTCCCCAAAATGAACAGATACTCATTTTATAATAATGAAAAATGCTAAAATTGTCTCCTTTTTAAGCAAAAAGGATGTAGAAGAAATAATTGATCCAAGTTTGCCATCTTGATCAAGTTAAACATCTGAACCTTTGCAAAAATTAAAAAAAATTATCTGAGGTAATTAACATAGTAGTACATAAAAGATGCTCAATAACTGTGCATTCAACTGCAGGTGTATTAATTTTTAAAAGACCTGACACATTCCACTATTTATAAAATGCAACTCATTATAAACAAATGTCAATAAAGGGGAGGAAACCATACATCGTAAGTCAAAGATGACCGGTCTATCCAGAAGACACGTCGTCTTTCCATCTCGAAATAAAGAACAATTTACAAGATGTTCCTTTCTTACACTTGCAGGGCGACTTCCTGTTGATTTGGCTAACTTTCTGTATTCACTTAATATTTGCTGAACAATCTCTTAATTACAGAACCTGAATGTATAAAGTCCCCTTCTTATTGATCCATCCAAACCTGGCAGATCGTTCAGTTCCATAGCAAAAGCTCTTCGGTGACCTTTTCCCAAGCTACCCATTCAATCAATACAGGGCATCTACAAAGTCCATCTACGGCCCGGTCTACAGAAGGCTGTAACAGAACGTGGAAGGGACGGAAACGGGCAACTTCTCCAAGGTCATTCATCCTCACAGAAGCGGGTCTGTGTTCCACCATTCAAGCGACCCTTCCTTCCCTGAGCATTCCTCTGTACCTCCGCAACCAAACCAGATTCAAAGCTGCAGTGATGGACAAAGCTGCTTCACTTACCGTGAACTAGCGGGGGCCTTAGGAGATATTAATGACACAGAAGCCTTCAAGACTGCTGAGACTCTTCTACAAAAAGTAGCCAAACTGGCTACAGCCATTTTTTTCCGCACAGGTAATCAAACCCTATTTCCGCCAACAATGTCGTCATTTCCCCTTCCGCTTCCTCGCGCCGACTAGATAAAGAGAACTGGAATTGTGCCTTGCCCTTACTCAACATGGCTACCCTTTGACTTCACCCTCATTGGTAAATTGACTCTCTCGGCTCCCGTTACTCTCCCCGCTTCTTCCTATTGCGGGTCGCAGCCATGGCGGTTATGAGTTTATTCCAGCGCGCTTCAGTCACTGCGGTGACGGCTCTGTCTGGCCGCCGCCTTGGCGCTGGGCTCGGATCCGGAGGCTTTCTCACCCGTGTCTTCCCGAAGACTGTTGGTGCGTGCTGGCCTTGGGAGAAAGTGCGTGCAAGGGGGACGGGGTGAGAGATGGGAAGACTGTTCCCAGGTGACCTTGGTGAGATCCCGAGGGTGCCGGCACCGATTGTGGGCTTGGGCATTTAGGGTAGACGGAGCACCATCTGTTTAAAGGACCTTACCGAAGTGAACAGATCGCTTGCGTTTAAATTCATCAACATTTGTAAAACATTTGCCATTGACCAACGCAGTTGGTGCTAATTTGCAGCCGAAGCTGACAAGGCTTAGAGTTGAGACCTCTGTTTCTAGGGCACCAGATGCTTGGTACTTATGCCTGCCCCAGGTTCTGGTCCCGCAGATGGTAGGTCTTGTTGCTGAGAAGCTCACTAATGCTGTGTAAGACGTAGATAGGTAGGCTTAGGGCCAGCTTAGCCATTGGGCACAGTGGTCATTGTGCCTGTAGAGCCCATAATAATTTTAGGAATCCATAAAAATGTTTTAAATTAATTTCTTTTTTAAAGACTGTTAGTGAATTCAGCCAGGATTGTATTTTTTCTCTTTATTAGTACATGTTTGCAGTACATAACGATTACATTCATCGTGAGGAGTTGATGCATGGACATACACATCTGCTTTCCTTTTATTTCCCTCTCCCCTTCCTCCTTCCTGTCTCCCATCTCTCTTTTTTTTAATTTTTGTTTTTTGGAGGCGGGGTCTCACTGTGTGTAGCCAGGCTGGCATTGAACTCGTGGTGATCCTCCTGCCTCGGCCTCCCAAGTGTTGGGATTACAGGCGTGCGCCACCACCCCCGGCTTGTGTCTCATCTCTTGATACCTTTCTCATTTGCAAAAGATCTATCTCCATGTTTTCTGTTACGTTTTATGTTAATGCAGTCTTGAAATGGCATTTCTAATATTTCAGAAAGGGAGCCAAGAATGCAGAAGTGTCTGGGTCGCAGAAAAATAAGATTATGGGCAAATCTGGGTCCCTTAAGTACTGTAGATGTTTGAGGGAGTGGAAGTAAATAAAATAGCAAAACATCAAATGATTGGTACTCTCTTTCAAAGACTTCGCAAAGTGAATACAGTACAGTGTTATTGTCCCCATTTTACAGGGAGTGGAAACTGACTCTATTATAAAAATAGTGCACTATTCTACTAAATCAGTAATAATGGCAACCAACATTTATTGAGCATCTGTGGTGTGTCAGGCAACATTCTAAGGCTTTAGGATATTAGTTATTTAATCTTGATCAAAATTATTTGCCCTGTGCAATGCAAACAGAAAGTGAAACGTATCATAAAACTAAAAAGATTGTCTCTCACCCCAAAATAAATTGTTCTATTTTACTTCTTTTCCCGGTTTTAAGTGTGCTACCTCACATGATGCACTGGAACATACTGGAGAGAATCAATAGTATTCAACTAATTCCTAGTAGGAATATAGGAATATAAACATGAAAAACTACATATGCCAATATGCCTTGATACAATAATGTCTAGAGTATTTATACTACCTAGTACAGTATGATGTTATATAAATGGTTCTTACGTTGTATTTTTTAGGGGGAAATGACAATGTATGAGTGTTTAGTACGGATGCAGTGTTTTATTGGGATACTTTCCACCATGCTTAGAATCCAAAGATGTGGAATCCAGACATAAAGCGTACTGCATAACACTTTGCTTGTCCAGTCATCTGTCACTGGACACTTGGGTTGCTTCTGTGTTTTAGCTATTATGAACAGTTCTGCTATGGACATGAGTGTACAGATATCTCTTTGAGGTCTTGCTTTTAGTTGTTTGGGGTATATACCCAGAAGTAGAATAGCTAGATCATATGTTAATTTTGTTTTAAATTTTTGAGGACCTCTGTAGATTTTCCACTGTGTCTGTACCATTTTTTATACTTGCCAGCAGTACACAAGAGTTGCATTTTCCTCACGTTCTCACCAACACTCGTTTGATAGTAGTCACCCTAATAGATATGTGGTAATACCTCACTGTAGCTTTGACTTGCGTTTTCTTAATGGTGAATGTTGTTGAACATCTTTTCATGTGCCTGTCCATTTGTATATCTTCTTTAGAAAAATGTGTATGCAAGTCATTTCTCATTCCAAGAGTTCTTGCAGTGGAAAGGAAACCATTGAGAGAGGTGCATTGGAAAGGTGTACCTGTTTATTCTATGAGAGGTCATATGTTCAGATTCTCTAAAGGGAAGACATTTAAAAATCATCTAGGCTAACCCTTTATATTATGCTAATCCTGTTATATCCTGTATTTGTCAGCTTTTCTGACACTGGGACATGATACTTGACACCCATAACTTTAAGGAGGAGATACTTAATTTGGCACATGATTTTGGGGGATTCAGTCCATGGTAAGCTGGCTCCAAGAGAGAAACATCATGGGGGAATGGTGTGGTGGAGCAAAGCTGCTCGGTCCATGATGGCTGGGAAGCAGAGCAGGGGAATAGCGCCAGAGAGGAAGGAGTAATGGATACACTTCAGTGAGTACCTAGACACCCAGAAATGTGCTACCAATCCACTGGGTACCTCCTAAGCCAATCCAATTGACACAGTCAGGTTTAACCTTCCACATCCTGCTATTGATACTTAAACAACTCTGTACTAGGGAATGAGTGTGGCAGTCGCATTTTATTTTCAGCAACTAAAATTGCTAGAAATCTCATGTATGGAGCTGCAAATTGCTGTTTCCCACGGATCCTACTTCTTTCCTCCAGGTCATTACGGAATAGAGCGGTCTTCTGTCATTGGACAGCTCTTTAGCTGTTTAAAAAATTTAATCTAATCTCTATCCAGACTTCTTTTATTGTGGGCCAGTCCACTTCAGTTCTTTTAGTCTCATTAGATCAGTTTTCAGGTTGTTTAAGGTGGGGCAAGCTCCAGATTATCCCTGAAAGAATGTGCTATAGCGTGGACGAATTTCTGCAGATAGAGTTGGGATATGGAGGAAGGGAGGATTGCTGTGTTTTGACCTTGTACTTCTTGTACACTAGATTAAGATTGAATTAGCCTTTGGCTTTTTTGGTGAGCAACTAAGTCTCGGGGGATCAAAGCAGGGCTTTCCACTGATTACATTTAAGCCTTTTAGATTCATGTTGTAAATGAGTATGAGGATTCTTGGGGGCCCACCTTATCCTTGGTGTATTAGCCACTCTTGTTATAGTAGCGTTGTGTTTCCAAGACATTTCAATAAGTTAGGAGTGCTGGCTCTGCCTCCCCCATGTCATGCATGAAAATTTTGATGCTGCAAGGGCTTTTGAGAGCTCCCTTTGATCGGTTATTACATTAACTAATCAGCATGGTATAACCACCCAACCAATTGTTCATTACAGATTTATCCAACCTGCTCCTCTCACCTTCTGACATAATTTTGTCTCACTCCTTCCCTCATCATCCTCTAAATAGGAACTTTTCTGCTGAGCTGTTCTTTTCCACACTGCATACTTTCCTTCCCCTGCTGCCCATCTGGATTTGCAGTGATTTATGTAGTCTCTGTTTCTCCCAGAAGACTATAACCTTCTCAGACTCTTGCTCTACAAAAGGATCTGCATGAGTAGGTTCTTAAATACTTACTGAGTTAATGAGTATTTGTGGTACCATGCAGCCTATTTTCTTCATGTAGTTCACCAAAAATTTAACGATAGTATCTTTCAAATGATTTGCTGAAATCTATACTTGGTCAAGTTCTCTGATTCTTTTTGTTTTTGTTTTGTTGTTTTTTTTCCCATACCGGGAATCAAACTCACGACCTTGTGCTTGCCAGGCAGGCGCTGTGCAGCTGAGCTAAATCCACAGCCCCCAAGTTCTCTGATTCTTAATATTGTTATTTTAGGGGCCTTAGTAGTATGACTTACATTTCATAAATTCATCCCAGCTTCTAATTCTCTTGTGAATTAACCTCCTAAATTCATTGTAAGCTGCTGTGATACCAGAATTAAAACAGATGTTACCTTGGAAATATTAAAATGTAATTACAAGTGGCAGGAGAGAAAGCAAGTACAGTTGGCCCTCTGTATCTGTGGGTTGTAAATCCTTGGATTCAACAACGACGGATAGAAAATACTTGGAAAAAAAATCATGCCTGTAAATGAAACATACACAGACTGTTAATTTTCTCATCCTCTTAGATCATAACTGCATAGCATTCACTGTATTAGGTATTGTAACCTAGAGATGAAAGGCAGGAGGCTGTGGTATATGTAGATACTATACCATGTGATGTAGGGAACTTGGGTGTCTGTGGGTTGTTTTATCTGTGGGGGTCTTGGAGCCAGTCCTGCATGGGTGGATATGAAACAGAAAGATGTACACTAGGATGCACAACAATTCAAAAGCAGGAGAGGTCTCATCTGATTTAGAGTAATGTTAGCTTCTTGGATCATAGATGTCACCTGAGCCTAAAGGATAGATTTGAGGAAAAGGAGGGCATTCTAGATGGGAAACATGAACAAAGAATACAGATCTTTCTGACTTCTATGACTGGAATTCCTTTAGTGGGAAATTAAAATCCTTCATTCCATAGTGAATCACATGCAGAATTTGAGAACAATGGCCTGGCAGAGGCTGTTTCTCAGTAACAGTTGGATTCTTCCCTGCTCCCAATGGAAAGGGCTTAGAAGAGTCCACAAAGAAGATCCAGGAATGAAGTTTTGTCTTGTTTTATCTCTAGCAGTGCTTGATGAAGTTCCTTCTGGGAGCGTTTTGAGGAAAAGGGTATTCTTAATCAGAAATGGCTTACAAATGGATTTTGTCCACATATTTTAGAGCTTAGAGTTTTGTAACAAGTTCAAATTCCAGCTGGAGATTTGTTGCATAAATAATGTTGGTCCTTTCCATCTATTTTGCAGCAACTTTTTGTTTGTTTGCTTGCTTGCTTTTTTGAGGCAGGGTCTCATTATATAGTTCAGGCTGGCCTCAAACTTGGCAGTCCTTTTGTTCTGACCTCCCAAGTGCTGGGATTCCAGGTGTCCACCACCACACCAGGCTAGCAACTTCTTAATGTACACTACCTCCGCATATAAAATGGCATAATTTAAATTATAATTATTTTGCAGCATTGTCAAATATTTATAGCAGAGGAAACAAAGGTGATCAGCTCACCAAGAGTTTCTGATCTTCTCTGCCTGCTACTGAACAAATTGCAATGATTACTTGGATATTTATTTAAGATTTAATTAAAGCCGGGAATGGTGGCACACTCCTGTAATCCCAGCCCTTGGGAGGCTGAGGCAGGAGGATCACTGTGAGTTTGAGGACTGCCTGGGCTACAAAGTAAATTTAAGGCCAGCCTGAACTGCATAGTGAAACCCTGTCTCAAAAAGGCAAAAAAAAAAAAGATTTAATTAAAATAAGTGATAGAATGCTTGCCTAGCATACTTGAAGCCCTGGATTCGATCCATAGTATTATAATTTAAAAAAAAACAAAACAGAACTATAGCTTAGCACTTGTACACCAGTCTTTGTTTACTTGAAGATACCATATCTGCCCTCAGTACTTGAATAAAAACAGCATTTTAAAAATCTTAATTCATATCAAATATTTATGCATATATATTTTCTTACAGTCTGACTTTACCTCATAACAGTATATTTGTACGAACTTTGCGTAAGTCAGGGTAACTTAACATTTACAGCTCCTGTACGGCACAGTGCGGACCATGGGAAAAGGCTGTTCATCATCAAAGCTTCTTCATTCTATGACAAGCGTTTTTTGAAATTATTGGTAAGTTAAAATTTTTTTGTTGAACTAAAATGTTTGCTTACAATTAAGATGAAATTTTTTGCCTCCTTAGAAAGCATCTTCCATTTTATAAAAGATTTGATTTGTAAATTCGTATTTCTTTCCTCAGAAGCGATTGAGATTGTGTAGTAAAGTCTGATTTGTTATTGCATCTTTTTTTAAATTAGTGAACATTTTCATTTTCAGGAAAAGTATTCATGCTAACTCGAGGTAAAACTTAAGCCATTCCTTTCTTAAGATTATGGAGATTTGAAATATAATTGTTCCCTGCTTTAAGATAAAAAATCTGCAGAGTTTAAGGTATAACTCAGTGGTCAAGCCCCTGCTTAGCACGACAAGACCTTGGGATTGATCCCTAGCAACACACACACACACACACACTCTGCAGATTACAAAACTGAAAATTGATTTATATGAGGATGATTAGTTTACATTAGTATTGTTTAAATTACCAAAGAAATGAATAAAGGAACACTTATTTTGAATTTTTTTTATTGATATGTTGTTTGGGAACTTTTATTTCAGAGATTGATGCTAACTTACAGCGCAGTCTTAATTCAGTGATAATATTTTTTATGTAGGGTCCTTTTTTTTTGTTTTGGTACCAGGAGTCAAACTCAGGGCCTTGCACTTTCCAGATAGACACTGTGCTACTGAGCTGCATCCCTGGCTCCTTATGTGGGGTACTGATTCTGTATTTGTATCTCAAGGCTATCTAAGAACAAAGTAGAGGCTTAGGAAATGGAAGATTGTCTGAGATTGTCTGAACGCTGCAACTGTCCTTGAAGCTCTGAAT